TGAATGAAAATAAAAAAAACAATTATATATATATGTGTGTGTATGAAAAATAAACTTGTTTTAACAATCTCTCTTATTATTCGTAACAAGAAAATATTCCTTTCCTTCGAAAGTGATAACGTTAAATTGTTCCAAGAATAATCTTAAAGTGGGCGATGTTCTATCACGCGAAAAAAAGAAAGAGAAAGAGAAAAAGAGAGAGAGAGAGAAAGAGAGAAAAACAGATAACGAAAAGATAATGATCGAAGCAAGTTTATGCGGCAATAGTAAGAATACAATATCAAAGATTTAACGCGAAAAATTAGTAAAATAATTATACTCGTTTTGTTATGTCTGACAAAATGGGGTTGGGTGAGTAGGGGGGTTTAATCGATGTTTCGTAGGAACGATGACGAAAGGAAATAAAGATTGGTCGTGTCGTTGCTTATTTTCAACGAAAGAATATAGGAAAAGGAAAAAGAAGTGATCGTAGATAGAAAGGGTAAGAAAATGAAAGAAAATAAATGTAAAATAATGATCGTTCGAAGATCCAAAGTAAGTTGTCTGCTGCAAATGCAAAACTCGGCTAATAAAGAACGTTTCATGAACGTTCTTCCATGAACGGGAGGCACAGGTATCGATTTCACAGGCAACAGACCACTTAATTGGTGGCCACGGAACGCAAGCTTCGGTTTATTTACATTTCGCGAGAATAACGTAGCGTAGTACGATATAGAGCCATAATATTTATATCAGAGAGCCCCTTTTCTTACAGACGTTTATGGCGTCGCTCTGACGATTCGATCGTCTCAAGATCGAGCAGCTATAGTGAAATGTTTGCCTCCTCTCTTAAGACCACTCCTTATCTCTAGTTTATTGTACGTGCCTTCGATACTCTCGGTTCTTTCGCTCTACTTTTTTTCTTTTTCTTTTTCTTTGGCATGCGACTAACTAATAAAAGATAACCTGAAAATGGAATAACTTTAACAAAAAGAAAAAAAAATATATATGTATGTATGTATGTATTCATCAAACTGGAACATTCGAGGTTTTGCGACAAAAGTGATTTTTTTTTTATTCGAGTCTCTGAAGACTCGACGACCTTGCATTAATTAATTCTCACCCGATAATCAACCGGCAAAATTTTTATTCCATCATGGAAACAAAGAATGATACGTCGATTTAAATGCTAAACTCGTCGAATCAAGGACTCTGAGATCTCAATGTTATACGGGCATCGGTGGTTAATTTATAGTATACTAGGTGTCCCAAAAGTTACTTTACCTAATTGAAAAATTATTATTTTATAATGGCAACGCACATCATAGAGGGTTGATATTTTTGTCTTTTTTTTTAATAATCAATATCAATACTTTCGAATGACATAAACAATCTGTTCTAATCGTATAAATGTAATAACGATTGTTCTTATTTTGTTTATCTTTTTCTCGTTAAAAGCAACTTTTGTGACATTTTATATACTTGTCTACTTTGACTCATTGACTTCTTGATACGAATGCTGATTTCTTTCTCTTTATTTTTCTATTTAACATAAATGTTTCGCGAGCACTGTGTTTAAGAAGTTTTCTAGTAAAAGTCTCAAAGAGAAACGAAGAAGAAGGCGGCCAGGTGGTCGGTCGGTGGTGCAAATGTTATTACACGATACTTTTCTTCCACGGCGTTCCGTCCTGAACGAACGTCCATGATTGACGGCAGCATAAATCTTTGTAATAATTAACGTCGTTGCGGAAGAACTCGGATGCGTCCGGTCGTTAAGCGAAATGCATTAACAATATATCTCATGTGGGTGAAGGTAGAAAAGTAATTATATATGCAACCGGCATTTGAAATTGTACACGTAGGACTAGTTGGCTTCCTTATTCGTTAGTTCTCATAATTCGTGCCGCCTTTTCAAAAGACAATCTACGTAGAATCTAGAAACATTATTTTATATATATCGTCTAATCTATAATAAACTAATCTAATCTATAATCTAATCATCGATCTAACATAATAACGAGTATATTATGAATCATTTGAAGAATTTATTTTAACGTTTCGAACATTCTAACTAATGTAAGATTAATATTTCTATTATTGAACGCGTAAATTTATTTCATGTTTTTGTTTATTAAATACAACACAATAGATGTGTCGAATCTATATATCTGGTGTTTATATGTATACAATACTTAAATAATAAATACAATATTATCGATATACGTATACATAACCGAGAGGAGTGTGTCTCCTCAGGAGAAGAGTTATGCAGATGCTTACTAAAGGCAATCGTTGAACAAAAGAATCGCGAATGAAAATGGCAATCGAGCAAATCGAGGGTGAATGCGCGACTGGTCGTGACCGTAATACGGCCTTCTGAATTTCGCGGAGCAAACCGTTCATAAGAATAATAACCTAAGGTAGAAAACAATGCCAAGTTATTGAACCTAAATATATATATATATACACATACGGTTAAAAAAAATACAAATATATTTTACGTTCTCGAGAGATACAAGAGTATCAGAATATTTTTCTTTTATAATAACCTTTCGCGATTGTATTTTCTTTGTCAAGTATAAATACCAATGTATATAACGTATATATACTTATAATGATTTCAAAGAATAACATTGTAAATGATTGAAAGAAACAAAATGTTGAAGAAAAAGAAAAAAAAAAAAAGACAAAAAAGAAAAAATACTGAGAAAATCATTTACAACGCAAATCCTGTACGCCTGCTGTTTACGGTAAAACATTAATACGCGTTTGGTGTAATAATATCGGTTCGTTTCTTTGCAACGAGACGAGTCTAACAAAGTCGCACTTTTCTAGCTTCTAATCTTGCATCCAAGTAACGTCCATGACCTAACCCTGACCGAGACCCCAACAACACAACTTCCAAGATATCTCTACGTTTTAATCGATTTCGCAACGACGATATGGAAGAAAATTATAAACGAACGATCAATTTAAAAATATGTCGTGTCTTTTACAAACGCGAGGAAAAAAATGTAGGATTTTTGTGATTTTTACGTCTGGGAATAACATTTTTTTTCTCCCATTTTTAAACATTAACTTGATATTCTACTTTTTTCTTCTTCTTCTTCTTGTTTTTATTTCTTTCCTTTCTTGTAGCGGTTAATGTTAGACGACCGGAGGCGAAAAAAAGTGTAAGGAAAGAGAAGAGAAAAAAAAAAAGAAAAAAAAGAAAAAGGTTTGAGGGCGTAGGTCGTAAAATAATATCGGCACGCAAAGGTTCGACCTCGATCTCACGGTAGGAACAAGTTTTCTCATCGAGTTGTGAGTTGAGTTGAGTTGAAGTTCGAGTTCGAGTCTCAAAAAGCGATCGAAGAAGAGGAGGACCCAAGGAGGCTCTAATCAAACGAAATTATTCTTCGTGGTCGAGAAAACGATATTCGAAGGAACGACTTTCGAAGGCGTTTCGGACGAACAAATTACGTCACGTTTATTTTACGACACTTTCAGTAATCCTTTCTACCTACCAAAGTTTCTCCTTTCCTTATTTGACACAACGTTAATGCGTCAAAATATTAAACCGACATATATACACACGCACGTACAATAACATCTAATTACAGTTTAATAAGAATCTTAATCGAATGTTATTTTTTACCTAACAGAATGTTTTTTCTTTTTTTTTTTTTTAGAACCTATATTCTTTAACTATATTGAACGTTTATATATTAGGTAGATGCATTCATTATTAAGAATTATCACTAAAATATAATATAAGTTATTGAGATAACAATTTTTTTTAAGGTATTTTCTGCGTAAACATCTAATTCTTCTGCGTATAATTTTTTAACAATATCGCTAGGGAACGATTGTCTAATCTTATCTTGTAAATTATTACAAAAACATGCTATATCATTCGTTACGGTTTTCAATTTAAAGTCATTGCATATTTCGTTATTTTGCGCATATCAAGAGAGGTAGGTACATTGACGATAATAGTTCTGATTATTTCGGATTGCACAGCTTTTAGTCTAGTTATGCGGCTTTTAGCTGTCATGTCCTATCACACATTATGTTTACTAAATCTTAATAGGTTTAATAATTGTTTTATATATTAAAAGTATATTATCTATATTTAACTTTGAATCTCTGTTAGTTAATCAGAAAATGTTTCTTTTTGTTTTGTTTAATAGGAATTTGTTATGGTTTACTTAGTAAGTATTGTTTCAAATCATTTATCTGATTATTCATTGATAGAGTTTTTGCATTTTAAACGAGTTACTATTAAATTGATAGAATTGTTATTATACCATTAAGTATGAAAGATCCGATTATTCCGATTACTTCTTTTCAATCAAGAAATCGAACATTTAATATTTAATGATCAAATATATTTGGTTTATTTTTCGATAGTATAATAATATCTCTAATTTTGATAATTAAACAATTAATATTTTTCGTCGTTGCTATCGATAGTTAAATTTGCCAAATGTGATAAATAATTCAAATAAATTATTTAAACAAACAATAACGTAAGAATTATTAAATCGCATTAACCTACAAATACCATAAGTAACAACATCTTATAAACAGGCTAAATTATATCGTTTAAACGTGAAAACAAAAAGTGACCTAGAAGTGAATAATAAACAGATTCTACAATTTTTCGTTGAGAACCCTCTCTCTCTCTCTCTCTCTCTAAAATTGAAATTTGAATACGTTATACACGCACACTCTCGGTATAGTCATCGGGTTTAAGAATTTTCGAGTTCGATCTTAATTTGCGGGGATAGAATGTAAGGGGTTTAAAGAAAAAGTCTGTGAATATCGTTACCAAGAGGATGGAATTCAAATTGAGAGTCCTAAAACCGGTTGAAGATACGAAAGAAAGAAAGAAAGAGTTGAGAGAGAAAGAAAGAAAGAAAGAAAGAGGAATTAAGAATCTTTACTTGGGTTTTTCTCTCTTTTCGAGAATAAGGAAAGAAAAGAATAATAATAATAATAAGAAGAGAGTCTCGAATCGGTCGGTGTCGCTCACTTACCGTGCGAAAGGCTGTTCCTCGACTTCGTAGAGTTCCTCGAGGGTCTGCTTCGAGAGAACCCTCTCCAGTCTCTCGGGCGTGGGAGCGAGGTGCCCCGGGATGCTGGTAAGTTCGAACAGGCCGTCCGCGGTCATGGCGCCGCGAGACTCCTAAGAATTTCTCCTCGTGTGATACGTACGTACGTATGTACGTTGCTACGTCGTCCTCTTCGTCTTCTTCTTCTTCTTCTTCGTCGTCTTCGTTGTCGTTGTCGTTGTCCTAGAGATAGGCAAGCAAGCAACCAACCAACCAAGTAGGCGCGCGCTCGCGCGCACACACGTCTTGACCTTAAGTAGAAATTAATATCCGAGTTGCACAAAAGGAACGATAAATATAAACGAACGAGAAAACAACGCGGCGGGGTTGATACGGGTGGGGGAGGGGGTCAGTAGCGACGATGCTGTCGGGAAAAGGGGGTGGGGTGAATTGGTTGGAAAAACAAAAAAAAAAAGAACGCGCGCTTTGTCACACCAGGTTTTTCTCACAAAGGCCTTTTTTTTCCTTTCTTTTTTAATTTTTTTTTTCGCGGTGTCAGCGTCGTAACGAGGAACGACGGAAGGATATTATCACGTCGTCACTGTCGCGAAAAAATTCGGACCTCGTACGAGGAGGCATTATTTCTTTTTCTTATTTTCTTTCAATATTTTTTTGTTGTCTTCCGTGTTAAAATCACCACCTGCTGCTGCTGCTGCTGCTACTACTTTTTCTTCTTCTTCTTTTTCGGTCTTTTTTTTGTGTGTTTTTATGTAAAGTTTTCCAAGTAACGTAAGTGGGTCGTTTTCCCTCGTTGAGATAACTCTCCTTTTGTATTTATAATGAGAAAATAATAAAAAAAACGTGGTCGCAATAACGGAACGAGTAGTCGCAGCACACCGTATTATATCTACTCGTATTAGCCGAGGCACGCGCTTTACAGCTGTGCGAGCTTCGTAGCACACAACCACCTCGCGCGACGGTCAAACGACGATTGGCCAACGAGCCGACGTCGAATGCCGACGTCCCCACTCTTACTCGTGATCTGCGCTAGGCCGTCGGAGTGGGGAGTTCAATGTTCGTCGGCGACACCGAACTTAACCGAAGTCTATCGAACGTTAGCCGAACATTTTAGCGCGAACTACGAACCCTTCCCGCTGTATATTCTTTTTCTTTCGAACGCGTTTGCTTCTTTTTCTTCTTCTTCTTCTTTTTCTTTCTTTCTCCGTTGCCTTTCCCTCTTCCTCCACCCTCTCGTCTTCCTCGTTATCCACTTCTTCTTTCTCTTCTATCGTGTCGTGCGATGACTCCGCGAATCGTTTCTAAGGTCTCTCTCTTTGCTTCTCCTTCTCGATTTCGACGTGACGAATTAATGCGATCTCTCCTAGGTGTATCCCCCGTATATCTTTCTAGCGTATCTTACCTAGAGACGAGAATTCTACGACTAATACGATCGATGCGAGAGTATCTTTTTTTAAATGCTACACTCAGAATTCTTTTATTATATATACTTTGCCTCCTGTTTGCATTTCGTCGCAGCTGCCGACCGACTACGATCGTGATAAATAATTCCGTAGTTTTGTGTAGTTATGGTAGTTACCACCGAAGGGGTCCTTTTGAAATAAGTCTAAACAATCGTTCGTTCTCGTTAGATTTTTAATAGAAATCGTTCGAAGAAGATAATAAAATATTTACTAGGATTAAAACGAAAGAGAGATTGTTTCTGTGAGAGAAGAAACACACACAAGAGACGTAGGACGCGACGGGATCTTGTCAACCACCTTGCATGATTATGGCGAGCCAGCATGAATAATGGAATGCATAATTTATATGTTTCCAAGCGAAAGAGAAGCAACAGCAAAGAAAAGAGAGGGTCCAGAGTTAATCTCTCTCTCTCTCTCTCTCTCTCTCTCTCTCTCTCTCTCTCTCTCTCTCTCTCTCATCTCTTATATGCAAGCGCTTACATTATCGATCTCCTAATAAGTCGGTGCAACTTTCAATGCCAAGATAAATTAGGTAATATCGATAACGATAACCGTTGTTTCTTTCCTCTTTCTATGATGCAACTGCGTACGCACGATAACGTAATAAATTGATTTAATAATAATTAAAATGCGTATTACATGTTTACGACCATGAACGACATCCGATGCAATATCATAATCATCGACGTATTTTGCGTCGTTTCAACAAATATTTTCATACTGTTAAAAAATACAAAAGTACTTGTCGATGAAAACACTATTTCTCTATATTTACAAAAAATAATTCTTTTTTTTGGTTTTTGTTTTTAACCTACCACACCTAACGATCCTTTGTTTTACGAAGAAGGAAGGATTCAACGTCTACATCGACATAAACGACGTCTATAACTTGTTAAGTTTACGAATGACGGTTCGCATTGAGCGATAAGAAATGCTCGGATTTGATGTTGTATACCCAGTGCGTGAACATTCTAACAGATCGCGACGCGTGCACGAACGTACGAATTACGAGGGACTTTACGTACTTCTTCGTGTCGTTTCTACGATCTTTCTACGATATTTACGACAGAAAATAAGATTCCGTTGACTCGTACTCGAATCTTAATGATTCGAGGACGCGAATGAAAACGATAGGGAAAACGAGATATATTACTACTCTATGTACCTACATGCATGTATGTATGTAAGTTAGGACAAAGAGACAATGTTATTCCGGATCGATATTTTTGACCTCGATTGCGGTCATTCAAAGGATCAAGGATGGGTATAGAAAACGTTGACGTTTCGTACGTCTTCTTCGTTATACTGTGTTTTAATCCAGTTACGGAAAGTCGATGTTGAAAGATCATGGATTTATTGCAAAATTATCGACTCAAGTGAATGTGCGTATATATATATGTATATGTCACTCGTTGAAAATTATTTTTAGAAAGTCTAATAACGCGAGAATGCAAGAGAAATCAAAGAGGTCTAAATAGAGAACGACAGGATAAAGGATATACGATTGAAAATATTGATAATAATAATTCATAAATGCTTGTTACGGACGAAGCTCATATAACTTATTAGAAAATAGTGTCGCCAGGTGTCCACGATCGTATCCGCGTGACACGAACCAAGACGATTTTATTCGACGAAGAAATACAGAAAACGAAATATGTTATAAGAGATCGTATTACTGTTTATATAAACAAAAATATTATACGTGATTTCTTAAAAGATATCTGTATAAAAACGATCGTTCCTTTTTTTTTCATCGATTTTATCTACATTGATCCTTTTAACCTTTTTTAAGTGTTGAAACACTCGACCAAAATGTTTCTCAGAGACGAAATATTTTTTCGCTAGTATGATTTATTATATTATATATATAGGGGATGCAATTAATTATAAGTTATAATATTTATTATTCTAAATAAATTATATTTTCAAGCATTCTATCGAACATTGACGTCAACAAACGCATATATGCACATACACAGTATTAAATAAGTTAATTAAGCTTTACATAGGACATCTCCAAACAAAACAAACAATCTCTTTCATAAACAAGATCATTCCACTTTCTATATGGAATCAGGCTGATCATCGGTTGATGACGTTCTTAAAGTTAGTTTCTCGAATGACCTTCGCAAAATACCGATAGGTTTAGTACTCGTGAGGCAATAAGGAACAAGCACGACGATAGTACAGGTGATTCATCGAGCCGAGTCTCTTTCTCGTGTTGTACGACCAGTTCTCTCTCTCTCTCTTTCTCATTCTATCTACAATATATATTATCTTTGTCTCTCTCTCTCTCTCTCTCTTTCTCTCTCTCACTTTAGAATCGGAATCGTAATCGGCGATCCATCGGCGTGTTTTGCCGGCGCGGATTATCGCTAGGTACGGCTAAATTAAACGGTGTTTCCTTCTTCGAGGCCGATTTCACGGATATTCGAGACCATTAATACACCCGGTTGGTAACATCGACTCCTTGCGATAATTAGCTCTAGCCTGAAATTAACTCGACTCGATACGCCGAAGGAAGGAAGCCGTTGCACCAATGCTATATGTTGGTGCATCGTTCTGTACTCTAGGAACTTACTAAGCATCATACTCGATCTCTTTCTTTCTTTATCTGGGAAACGATATTTTAAAAAATGTTGCATGCGTCACAGTTATCTGTTGGTCTATCGGTTACGATGAGATACAACGATATTCAAGGTCCGTGACCTCGGTTAAATAAAATTGAAAATCCTTTTTCTATATATCGTTCATTGTTACGTTTATTACGATTTTCTATATACGCTCGTATTATTAAATATTTTCTATTAAAATTTGTAGAAAATGTTTATTAATTTACGTTACGCTCATTATACGTTTATCTTAAGTTCATCGAATCGTGAAAAAGATTATTTCTTACCTATGCATTTTAATCTATTAAATATAATATAATATATATATATATACCGTTTGTAATTTAAATAAAATGAAAAAGTTAAATGCGAAATCCAACTTTCATACGAGTTTGATTATTCGACTTAAGGCAGACTTATTTTTAGCGAGGTAACGTTAACACGTAATTGTTTTATCTGAAGAACGACTACGTCGAACATAGCTTTCGAATTACATCATTCGTTTAGCAAAAACATTTCTGCTTGGCGACACGTTGGTCTTTCTTCTTTTACGCGTTACTTCGAGCAACTTCATTCGTAAAGAGAGAAAAGTTTATCCATCTCATTAAGCTTATCCAGTAAACTGCACTTCGACGTAATGAAACAGATCGATCCGATAGTGAATCTGAACGATTCTTCTTATGTTAGATGTATGCATGTATGCATATATATGTACGATCACATTTCCGAACTTTCCCAAGTATACTCGTATATACTATCAGTCTTCCATATAAATCAGTCGTCCGACAGTAATTTAAGATAATCCTAGAGTGCTATATTTTACTGGAAAGACGTACTGGATCAGTATACCTTCCTTGCGTGTGTTTAAAACACGACTGACTACTACTACTACTACAATGTTGCTAAGACGATTGTAATTGCTTCTAACCTGTATACGTTTAATAATACATATTTCCTTAAATTACCTTTACGCATGTTCACTTTTTTTATCATACATCCGTCCAGATGGATTTAAGATGATCATTTTAACTGTCCTATACAACAACAATCAAAACAATAATAATAATAACGATAATGATGATGGTAATGGCGACGACGACGACGATGATGATGGTGATGATAAAAATAAGAATTATAAATATTAGAAAGAGAGAGAGAGAGAGAGAGAGAGAGAAAGAACAAAAAAAAAGAGGAACAGAAATATTACATAAGTTTTAAAAATAGTTAAATTATAAAAAGCCGCGTAAACGATATTTAATGCGAATTCTGTCTAAAACTTTCTACGACGATGTTAAAAGCACGTTTCGCGATATAGAGACGATAAATATGAAGAAAGAAAAGAAAGGAAAAGAAGGAAAAAAAAAATAAAAATAAAAAAAAATAAAAAATAAAAATGGACTCATAGAAAAGATATGATGAACGTTGCATTTTCCTGTTCCAAGAAGACGTACCTACTACACTGGCTGTTATCATTATGGTAGAAGGATTCGTTTGTGAAGCTTCGAAGATAGAGAGAGAATGAGAGAGAAAGAGAGAGAATCGGTGGCACTCGTTTCCAGACTTTCAGGTCCCAGAAAGGCGGAAGTAGTAGCGCGAAAAATGTTCTTTATTTTCCACCGTCAAAGAACTCATTAGCCCTAATGGTGAGCCAAAGAGAACTCGGCTCTTCGTGCTCACGACTCTTCGTGCTATTCCTCGCGATCCGGAGACAAAGAGGATCGCGAATCCTCTATTCCTCTCTATCTATTTCTCTTTCTCTCTTTCTCTCTTCCTTTTTCCTTCTACCTTGCTATCATCTTTCCAATTTCACCGAGACTAGAAATTCCTTCGAAAGATGAGCCAGTGTCTCTACTATTTTCTTAACATTTCAACTGAAATAGATGTTAAAAGAAATCAACTAGAAATGTATCAGAAAGATAAATAATTCCATCGTAATATTTCATTTTTCTCTTATATTCATAGATAGATAGATAAAGTTTATTTTTTGAAAGAAGTTTTAAAAGTTTAAAAAAAGAAATGAAAAAAGAAGGGATTAAATTGTAGTAGCTTTCCCTTCATAGTAAGAAAGAAAAATAAAGAACAGAAAATGAGGAGAGGTCCGTCCCATGGGCAAAGCCTTTCTAATTCGTTCAAAGAGTTCTCTCCTATGTTTTCTCGTCAGTTAGTATAACCGTTAACGGAGTTGACTATAAGCGGCATTTCCTAAGCCTGAACGTTTCCTAGGCTGAACGAGTACGAGCAACCAACAACCAACCTTCTCTAGCAACCTTCTCTAAAGCAGTGTTGCCTACTTGCACGGGGCAAGGACGGCCGAGGCCGAGTCA